ACATGGCGCCTGCCTGCCGGCTGTGTGCGGGGAGGACTCGCCACAGGAGCCATGGCCTCTGCCAGCCCTTCTGCCTGGGAGGAAGCCGCCCCTCCAGCTCTCGCCCCAACTTCAGGCAGGTTAGTTCCTCCCCGAGTGTCCCAGGTCCTTTCAGGCTGCTGCCCGGCGCTGGGCTCAGAGGGAGCGTCCGAGTGAGTCCGTGCCGGGCCCTTTAGGAGGAGCTGCTGGGGCTCCCGCAGCCTCCGCGACCCTCAGCGACAGTCCCCGCTGGTTTCACAGCCCAGAGTTGTGGGGACGTCTCTTCCCTGACCTGGAGCCGTAGGCTGGGGGCCCGATGTGGGGCTGGGACCCCTCCCTCCTTCGGGAAACCCCCACCGCTGAGATTCCCTCCCGGGTTTAACCTGTGGCACCGGGTGTGGGCCCGCAGCTGCATCTCGGGGTTCCAGCCCTGATCCGCCCGCGTCTCCGCCCCTCCTCCCGGTCTCGGTGCTTCTTCAGGTCCCTGGTTGTGGGGCTTCTGTGCAGCTAGATTTCAGGAGGCTCTGAGTGACGGTGGTTCTGGATTTTAGTTGTGATTTTGATGTGGTTGCAGGAGGCGGCAGGGACATCTGTGGCCTACACCGCCATCTTGATATATCTCTCCCAGTAATTCTTAAAAGGAGTTCTGTGTTTTACACAGTCTAAAGTTGCACCTGGGATAAAGTGCTCATTTTATCAAGGATTCTTGAAGATATCTGATGTATTCCCCTCAGTGTCATTGAAAGTGCATTGGACTAGCAGTCAGGACATTTGAATTCTTGGCAGACCCTGTTCCTAATTACTGTGACTTTGGACACTTCATTAAGCATCTTTGTGCCTCAGTTTGCTCATCTGTAAAATGGGTAGAATGACACCTATATGCCTGCCTCAGAAGCTTATTTTAAAATAAGAACACACAGAAGAAAATATTTGAAAAAGCAGAAAAGCATATGAGTTGAAAGTTACTTCATTGTCTCTTCATTTGAAGGAGTAATAATGCCTTTCTTTTTCATATTTAGCTGGTGAGGCCTCTGTTATCTTCTCCAATGGTCGAGATTTGCTAATTGGTGATATACATGGAAGATCCTTTCAGGTTCTGGTAGAGTCTCAAAATCGTGGAGTGGCTGTGGGTGTGGATTTTCACTATCACCTACAAAGAGTCTTTTGGACTGACACCATGCTAGATAAGGTAAATAGAAATTTCAGGAGCATAGCTTGGGAGCTGATAGAACCCCAAGCACAAAGTGTTGATAGCTTTTCACTTTGGGGGGAGAAGAGGGAAAAGTTTCTTTGTTTTCTAACAAAAAAGGCCCTTGAGATATTTTATGTTAATCAGCACCTTTTCCATGCTATACTATTACATGGGACCCATTAAACAAAGCAGTCTATTATATGGATTAGCCTTGAGCAACTTTTAATTTTATTCGAAATGGAGTCCAAAAGCCTAATTAAAAGAAATAGTAGACATTCTTTCAAAACTGGATAGATATTTGGTAGTAATTTTTGAAACTTGATCATTTAAAATGTAAAAAGTACTTCGCTTTCCCGTATGATAAAAATCAGATTTTACCTGCATCTTCTAAATGGAATCATAATTGAGGATTGGGTAACAGATATTGACAGTATTTTGTCTAACAGCCAAATTTTCATTATACTGTCTTTTTTGGAAAGTGTGATGGATTTAACTTCAACTTTGAGTAATGTAGTTGTGATTTTTAAAACATAAATTTTAGAGACTCCTAAAGAGTTATTACATTTTATTCCTCCCTCTTACATTTCCTTGAACCATTAATAAAATTCTAATTCAACTAAGTTGCATAAAATTTTTAAGAAGTATAATAATCTGGGTTTTTCTTTCAGGTTTTTTCAGTTAATATTAATGGTTTAGATATCCAAGAAATTCTCAATGTTTCTATTGATGATCCAGAGAATCTGGCTGTGGACTGGATTAATAATAAACTTTATATGGTGGAGACCAAGGTCAACCGCATAGATATGGCCAATTTGAATGGAAGCCACCGAGTTATTCTTATTACTGAAAACTTGGGGCATCCTAGAGGAATTGCCCTTGACCCAACTGTGGGGTAAGTGATATGAAAACATACTGATTACAGTATTTTTGGAGTTTTATCTCTGTCCTTATACATAAAACATCCATTGGTTTGAGGGTTAATTCTGATTTATTTTAGGCTCTGTGCTCTAGAACCCATGTTTATGTTTCTGTTCACAGAAGCTTTTAAGGAGTTGGCTAAATATATTCTCACTTGAGGATATGTAATCCAAACACACTGGTGTACTAAAAATGTGTGAATTTTTGGGGTATGAATTTTATTCTTAATATTTGCCGTATTCACCTGTGTTCTGACTCAATCTAATAATATTGTTACAACTAGATATTACTTTTGTTTCACTGTTATTAAGATGATCACTCTAGCATGAGTTAGCTGTAGAGTTTTTTAAATTGGGGAAATAAGATTGGAACTCTCCCTTTTAGTGCTTTCTTCTGACAGGCTGGAGTTGAGATGTCAATGCTAATACCTCATTACAAGTTGTTCAGTGTGAACCAACCCAGCAAGAATGATAATGCTTACTTTTCTCCAGGTGTAAATTCAAATTTTCCTGATCTCCACATTTGAAAACAGTTATCGAAAACTTAGCTTTTTCTCAGGTTCTCCCAGTTGAGCCTTAGGACCCTTGAATAAACTTCCAGCTACTAAAGCGTTGGTGAATGGTGATTGTTCATTTCTACTTTGTATCAGCTGTTCTTCCGTGAAAATGGCTATGTTCTCTAGGCTATGCCTTAGAATGGGGAATTAAGGAGGAAAATGACTTTATAGCTATTTTAAAATGTATTTGTAAGTTTTCCTGGGTGTAAAAAAGGGAAGTGAAAGAACCAGGGGTCAGGGGAGAAAGTTAGGAGGGTGGATATTAAGTTTTAGGCTGCTGTATTAGTGCATTTTAATAGTTGCTATTTGGAGTTGTTGCCCCTCCTGATTGACCTTCTTAGCCTCTGATTTTTAATACTTTTTAATTTCTTGCTATTTGATACCCTCATAGCTCTCTAATCAGCTGGAGAAAATTTCCATTGATCCAAACAAAATTAAAAAATGTATTTTCTGGTAAACTTGTTAAATAACTGACTCATCTTTTGTTTTTCTTTTATAGTTATTTATTTTTCTCAGATTTGGAGAGCCTTTCTGGGGGGCCTACAGTGGAAAGGGCTTTCATGGATGGCAGTAACCGTAAAGATTTAGTAAAAACAAAGCTGGGATTCCCTGCTGGGATAACTCTGGACATGATATCAAAGCGTGTTTACTGGGTTGATTCCCGGTTTGATTACATTGAGACTGTAACTTACGATGGAACTCAAAGGTGATTAGTACTTTTTATAACTTTATGAGTTTGGGAAAAGTACATAAAATTTACGGAGAGACATACCAAAGGACCAGAATTAAAATATTGTTTTTGGTTGACATTATAGCTTGAATGACCTTTGTGTTGACATTTGCATGGTGACCTGCTCTGAGTTTTGTTAACTTTTCTTGTGTTCCATAATAGCAGTCATTAAATATTACCTAGAACTTTTGTTCATTGATTTCTCCTCCCAACCCCTTTCACTCTTAGACAAAGTGCATTATTTTCATTAACTCCATAGTTAGTTTATACCCAGGCATATTTATACTCTGGGTCTCTTATGGTTTGTTTCTAAAGATAACTTTGCCTTTTAGCTTTCTAACTTTCCCCCAATAAATAAATGTTTTATTATTTATTCAACATTTTCTGGTGGAAATAAATTGGATTTCACTCTGCCCTTATATATATTTCAAATTTCAAAGAGAAATTCTGACTTGTATTTTTACTAGTATACATCATAGATACTTAAACAGAATATTTGAACGTAGACTATGGCATATTTTTTTCTTCATCTTCTTAGTCTGATTAGAGCTAACTATAAATCAGTTAAATTGTTAACTATTTTACATCCTTTCCTTTTGTTATTTTCAAAAATTGGTCTTAAATTTTTGACCAAAATTTTAAGCAAATAAACTGGTGCATTCAGCAAATAAACTGGTCATTTTCCAAATGACCTAATTTTATTGCATTCTGAATGAAAGAAATGTTATAGTTTTGTTTTCTCCTTTATCTCTTTCATAAGGATGGTATCACAGCTTGCTAACATGTTTTATATTCTTAGAACAGTCTATACTTGGTTAAATCAAGTGATTGGATATTAAGGCTATGACTTCTTATCACTGAAACTGTTTCCTATAGTGAGACTATGAATTAATTTAATGAAAAAAATTAGTTAACCTCTTTCACAGCATTATATTATATAGTCCAAATATTTTTCTGCTAAGGTTAAACTGAAACATAAAAGATAAAAACTCATAGAGTTTCCGAAAGATTTGAGCTGTTTGCAGGCTGAGAAGAAACATCAAAGAGATAATAAAGCTCGTGAGTACAGTGAACTCATCAAGTCATCGCCTCTTGCTTTGCCAGCAGGTGGCATTCAGGGGTCTGGAATTTGCTAACTGGAAAAGAAAATCATTCTCCAATCTTAATGTACCATGTCGTTATTGAATGTTTCAAAGTGTACTCTAACTTGCCACCTTAGGTTTCTTTCATTTTTTTCCTCCTATAGTGTTTCCAGCGTTAGTATCTTCAAGTCTTTTCTTAGAGCTCTATTGTACTTTTCAGTTTTCAGGGGCTGCTAAGATTCTTCTTAGAGGTCTTCCTATTATGCCTAAAGAAAAACAAAGACTGAGTTTTTCCTCAAGTCATTTTCCACCTCACTTTTTAAAATATGGCCTAACTGAATTATCATTCGTGTGGATGCAATCATGGCAGGCACTGTTGATTTCTTGCCCTTGCTTGGCACCTTTTGCTTCTGTTTTCTTCCCATTTAAGTAACTCTGGGCATGCTGTGCCTTTATTACAAGTATGATCAGTTGGCAGTTTCATCAAGCAGAGCCATAAAAGTGGTACTGCCTTTTGCTCTCACTAACATGACATCAAGAACAGGCCTGTGTGTTTGCTGTGGGTTGAATCTGATCACTCACTGTCCTGTACCCTAATTGCTGGGAAATGGTCAGTGGTCCAGTGTGAAGTCAGTGTAGAAGGCATACTCTACCAGACTTCCAGACTTCCAGTCCCTTGTTACACTTTTTCTCCTATGGATTTCAGGATGACATCACATCTTAGCCCTTTTCTTTCTTTCTTTCTTTTTCAATCCTCACTCGAGGATTTTTTCCCCCCCATTGTTTTTTTTAGAGAGAGAGTGGAAGGGGGGAAGAGAGAGAGGGAGAAATGTCGATGTGAGAGAGACACATGGATTGGTTGCCTTCCACACGTGCCCCCAGAGCCGGGGATTGAGCCTGCAACCAAGTTACGTGCCCTTGGCTGGAATCGAACCTGGGACCCTTCAGTCCTCGGGCCAATGCTCTAACCACTGAGCCAAACCAGCTAGGGCTGGCCCTTTTCTATGTGGGGCAACCTTAAATGAATGAAGAGCAGGTGAGAAAATGATTAATTTCTCAAAAAAATCTAGAGCAGTCTAGGATTGGGACTGGAATGTAAGTTTCAGGGGTCATTTCCCAAGAGACAGGAAAATCCTTCTATCAAATATAGATGGAAACATATCTATTTTAAAATGTATTTTATCAATTCTATATTTGTAACAATTATTTTGCCTTTTATGCATTTATTTGAACTAATTGCACCTTTAATCAAAATAAAGCAAAACAAACAAAAAATTCCATGCTCTGTATCTTTTGTAACAGGAAGACCGTGCTTCATGGGGGCTCACTCATTCCCCATCCCTTTGGAATAAGCTTGTTTGAAGATAGTGTGTTCTTTACGGACTGGACAAAGATGGCTGTGATGAAGGCAAACAAGTTCACAGAGACCAACCCACAAGTGTACTACCAGTCTTCCTTGAGGCCCTTTGGAGTGACTGTTTACCACTCCCTCAGGCAGCCCAGTGGTAAGCCCCACAATAGGAACCGAGTTTGGTCCTGGCTTTGGAAGAAAGGTTTCCTCAAAGCTATGGAAGTTAATGATGAGAGAATCTCATGAGACTTGGGTGGCATTCTCAAATATATGAAGGGTTATCCAGAGAGTTAAATCTTCTGAAATTGGCTCTGCAGATCCTGAGCATCCTGGAGAAACTGACATATTTCATAGTTAAATCTATAGGGAACTGAGAGATTAATTTAACAGGTATTTATTGTCACCTGCAATGTGCCAGATCCTATCTAGATACTGGGGATATAGCAGGAAACAAATCAAACCAAAATAACTATCTTCATTCTACTGTGAGAAATTTTGTAATTCAATCCTCTAATATTACAGTGGAGGAAACTGAGTCCCAGAAGAAGATGGTGACATGCCTAAGTGCTCACTTTAGGCACTGTCAGAGCTATTTTTCCCTTCTTCCTCACTGCTGTAGATATAAGACACCTGCTTTTGGGTTTGCATTAGGTCTGACATAGGCAAGTTGGGTTTGGTTACTGTCTGGCTGGTAACTTATTTAAAAAAAATATTTTTGTTTAGACACTATTTAGTCTTCTTTTATAGTAAATTTTATTTGTGTTTTCTGGTTTTAGATTGACATGACTATCTGGACTATATACAGTTCTTTTCTGTATTTAGTTGTGCATCAAAGAAAAGAAATACGAAAAATTAGACTATGATGGTAGAAAGTGTAATATTAGTGAACAGTCATTCAGAGAATGACAGATTTCACTTTAAAACTCTTGTGTTAAGTGGTTGGTCTCTGATCTCTCCTAAGTTGCCACTCTTGCCACTCCAAATCAGATAATCACATTTTGATCCCACCCGGCTGATGGAGAAAGGCTATAAATAGGCTGATTATTATTTTTTAAAGAAACCATCCACTAGAACTCAAACTTTCAGATGAATAACCTTCAATGTAGTCATCCTGGGAAAACATATGCTTTATATGAAAATATATACTGTATCTGAAAACATTTTGGAAATCTCTATTTGGGACAGTCAGTTCATGAGCCCTTGACCAAAAATATCACCCAATTTTATTGTCCAACTTATTTCTATTATTTGCCTCTGAATGATGCCTGGCTATTGTTCCTCCAAATCAATCCACCTGAGACTGTCAAAAGACTAGTTTAAAGAATAAGTCACAGGCCAAGAGGACAATTTCAAAAGCACATATAGCATTTTTAGCTGTGGCTGCATTGCGTACCGTGAACTTCCTGAGGTCACTGTGTTTGCGGGTGGTTTTTGGAAGTGTAAACTGGTTTGCATTGCAGACTTACAGGGGTTTACAGTAAGCTGAATTTGATATAGCTAGTTGGCCACTGAAAAATCTTGGGCAAGTTGTTCTATCTTTTGGAAACTTGGTTTCCTCTTCTGTAGAACTGGGGTACTACTGCTTACCTCTTAGAGTCATTGATTGTAACGGTTTACTTACAGGGTAAGCATCCAGTGAGTTATAGTTACATCTTATGAATAGTAAAATAGCATTTAAGGTTATTTTTTGGGGGGTGTGTGCAGTTATTTTCTAACCATTGAGGCTAGCAGGCACAATTATTGGGGGAAAAGAACCTCCTAAATTATCCAGTTGCAGGAATCTCAGTTTTTGCCACCACCAGTTTGAGAAGAGATGGGAGAGAAGTGACGAAGTTGAGAGGGAGGGCCAGCGCATCCAGAGGCGGGTGTATGCAGTAGCAACCAGCAGTGATGTCTCAGAATTTTAAACCCATTATTCTATTTCATCTACAGAGTCAAAAGCTGCTTCCCATGTCTGGGATAACGATAGGTTTCTAACTGAGATTTCACCGTGTGCATTTTCCCTCCAGCTAGCAATCCCTGCGGAGATAACAATGGGGGCTGTGAGCAGGTCTGCGTCCTCAGTCACAGAACCGACAACGGCGGCCTGGGCTACCGCTGCAAGTGCACCTTTGGCTTCAACCTGGATGCGGATGGCCACCGCTGCGCTGGTAAGACGTCGGCTTTGGGCCGTCTTTCTGGAAGGTGGCACAGGGATAGATGCTGTTCTTGGAGTCGGGCCAGTTCCTTGTCATATGCTTTTACTTTCTGTAACCCACAGGGCGCCTTCCTCAGTAGGCACTACTCCCCTTTCTACACAGAGCTGTGTTTGAAGCACTACATTTCTGCCTCTTGGGACTTGCCTTTAATTCCACATCTAGGGTTTCCTGGAGCTCCCTCTCCCCTTTGTCTCCTTCCTGAAATCTTTGTCTGCCTTTTTAACTATGCTTTTGAAATTCCATGGGATTTCGTTTTGAGTTCTTTCCTATGTATACCTTTTCCACTTCAGATGTTAACCTTAACTTTAATGGGAAGCACCTCCCATTGCTCTTACTCCTCTCTCCTAGACATATGCCGCTTTGAGTCAGGTAACCACATCTTGATCCCACCTGTTCTTATTGGGGTGGCTCATTTCCTCATCTAGTTTTTCTATTTTCAGTTAAAATTTTCCCTTTATATCTGTTTCTATACTCTGGGTTTCATTCTTACCGTAAGGACTTCCTTTCTTCCTCTTTGGTTACCTACACATCTGTTCATAATTGAGCCATTGCTTCTGCCTCAGCTGCTGACTGAATGTACTCCTACAACATTTGTTGCTCTTATCTTCACTTTGACAACTCTCCTTGTTATGCTTTGGATAAATTCTTGCTCCCCAGATGGTGCTGCTTCTGGTTTAGTAAATTCTCTCATTCGAATGAAGACACATTTGGTAACTTTGTAGGTAATCCCAGATTCAGATAAAAATCACCTTCATTTAAAAAACCATGTGTTTCTAAACTATTATATCAACAGTACATTGTTCAATAATTTTGATTTTAAGCTCCTTCTGCATTTTTTTTTTTTTGATGTCTTGGATATATAACCTTCATCTCTTTCTGATTTCCTGACATACTGTCACTGTCTCCTTTGACTTTAATCATCACTCCTTTCCTATTTCCTCCATTCTGCCCCTTTCTTCCTTTCTTTCCCTCCTTTATTTCTTTCTAAATAATTTACTGTGTACTGTTAATACTTCTCTTTTACTGGTCTTGACACCTCAAAAACTGTGGCAGGATTCTCCATGCAAAAGTCAGCCTCACTCTAGAAATTTGGTGAAATTACTATGCAGTTCAGTTAACACTGCTTTAGAAATTAAACACATGGGGACCATCTTTTATATAAATAAATCTTAATGATAAATTTCTCAGAAAGAAGATTGTAATACTTGTATTGCCTTTATAGCTGCTTATCTCTTTTCCTCCCTCCATTATTTCTAACTATGTTCCCTACAGATTTATTTTTACATTTATTTCAGAATTATAAAATGTGCTTTATGGAAGGATAAGTAATTTGTATGGAATTCAGAGAAGGCAAGAACCATGCTGTGGCTGACTGCTCTGTGTTCTTTTTCCTACAGCTGTTAAGCAATTCCTGATCTTTTCATCTGAAGTGGCTGTTCGTGGGATCCCATTTAACATCTCTACCCAGGAAGATGTCATGATTCCAGTGACAGGAAACCCTTCTTTCTTTGTTGGAATTGATTTTGATGCCCAGGAGAAAACTCTCTTTTTTTCAGACACATCAGTAGACATGATTTATAAACAAAAGATGGATGGCACAGGTGAGAATGGGTTTAAAATTTTTATGGTATGTTTTGTCTGTTTTCAATAATTATGCTAATAAATATAATTTGCTTAGTAAATCTTGGCATTCACTTCTTAAGCAGGATCCTTTACTAAAGGACCTCCCATGTTGTTGATTGCCATCTATGTAGGAATTACAAATCAGTGTGGGAAGACTTAAGATACGGCTATTTACTGAATGTTTTCCCTCCTAACCTAGGGAATGAAGGGAAGGTCCGGGAAAGCTTCTTACAGGTGCTGATAGAAATCTCCATGCAAGCTCTCCAAGATTCAGACTCATAATGCCAACTGCCTTTTGGACATCTCATAACCACCTCAAAACCAATATATCTAAGCGGACACCTTTATTTCATTTCTCACAGACCTCCTGCCTCAGGAACATAACCACTTCACTTCACTTTTCCACCCTCCCCTGATTCCTCCCACTCTTTTAACTTCTTTCATTAACTCATTAACCTCCAGCCATGCTCTGGAACATGTAGAATC